CCCCTGGCAGGGAAAATCCATCTTGCAGGGGCTCCATAAGAAGACTGGCCCTAGTCCCAGCCCAATGTGAACAAGAAAGCAGCAGCAGCTTCAGCTGGGAAAACATTTGCTTCCTGCCTGAGCAGGGGGTCGTGGGAACACCTGCTGCCCAGCTCCCCAGAGAGGATGCATGGATCCACTGGCACACGACACAGGACAGGAGTCTAGAGCTGGCAGGATGCCAGCACCCCTGTTCCCCAAAGCCAGGGAAGGACACAACGTGAGGGGATCTGGTGGTGGCTGAGCCTGCTGATTCCTGTGCCGCTTTGGACAAACTGCCTCGTGTCTCTGAGCTCCAATTTCCTCATCAGCCGATGTGTCACATGATGCTATGCACAGCATCCAGGGTGGCCATGAGGACCCTTGGGAGCATACCCCCCGAAGTGCTGAGCCCACGGAGTAGCCAGACACCATGGTTTCCATTAGTGCTTTCTAGTCCCTGCAGAATTTGGGAGCCTGCCAGATCCCTGCCTCCGATAGCTACATCCTCCAGCGCCGCCCAGCTTTACTAAGTCCAGGCCTGGGCCACGGGGTGCCGCGTGTCCCCCACCCTCAGCCCCCGGGGCCTCGGAGATGCTGCTGGATGAGCTCCACCAGTCCCTGTCTCTGCAGCTCCCAGCTTTCTCGGCTTTCCAAGGCTCTGGAATGGATAATTCCAGACCCGTGGATCCAGATAGAGACACCTAGAGGCAGGCTGGGCTCACAGCACTTACTCCCAAGGATAGGGAATTGAATCATATCAGCCCGGGGCCAGCCCAGCATAAAAACTAAGGGGCAAAACCCCAAGTTGAAGAAGGGCTGTTGCTACCGATTCAGTTTTCTGAGGGCGCATTATGTGCCAGGTGCCTCACAGGTGTCAGCCTCGACTTCCCAGACCGGGAAACTCCAACAGAGGAAAATGCGCATAATGTTATGCCGGTTGGTGTGGACCAAGTGCTGACAAACTACAAGGCATGGCTTCAAGCATGCGCGTTCACTGCCTTTACCCTTGAAATCTAACCCCTAATGGACTCCTGACTTACAGATAAAGAAACTGAGGCACAGAGAAGTTCAATAAAATCATCCAAGGAGGCAGAAGGGCTGGGAATGACACCCAAGGGTCTTTAGCTTCTACATGTAGAGGTGAAACAGCTGCCCGGATTGCACAATCCACGTGACAGCCAAACTCTCATGTCTGTGGGGACAAAATGAGGAGGAAGTCACCAGGAGCCCCAGCCATGGGCAGATAAGAGCTTGAGGAGCTGACAGAGATAAGTGCAACTCTTTGGGGCAGCAGGCACAGGGGTTGAACTTCAAAGGATGCGCGGAATCCAGACACAGGCACCCAAGGAGGGGCCGGGAAGGGCATTCCCAGCTGTCAGGGATGGCGGGAGCTGAGGAACACAAATGAGAGTTTAGCCAAGGGCATGGGCTTGCACAACAAGAGTGTTCCCCAAATTGGGTCAGGCTGCATGTGAGTGGGCGGCACCCTGACAGAACGTGAAGGTCAGGGGCAACATGCCAGTAAATGGCCCAGCCTGGCAGGGGAAAGCTGGGGGTCTCGCAGGTGCTACTGTGCATGGCTGGCCAGCAGGACCCAGGCCAGCAGGCAGCAGGCAAGCCAACTCCAGGATTCTGAGCTGCAGAGTGACATGACGTAGCCGTGTTGACAAGCCAGAAGTCTGAGCGCATGCAGGAAGGCAGGGAGGAGGTACCTTCCGTCAGTCCGAGACCACAAATAAGACAAGAACCTGTCGCACGGAGCCATTGGAAGCAGCGAGCAGGGACGTGTGGGATCTGTACAACGCTTTTAGCCTCCCTTCCTCTCGCACACCCCCTCTCCATCTGTCGCAAAGGGCACCAAGAAGATGTACAGAGGAATATTCCAGGGGCTCAGTGGCCCAGATTGGGGACTCTTACAGGAGCCCCAGCACCTGGGCGGTGGTATCTCTGAGGGTGCAGGGCCTGGCCCCTGCCTCCATCCGCGCCAGGCTTTTTCTGAGAGGCACCTGGGAGACGGGAGAGGACTTGGGCCTGCAGCCTGAGCTTCCACGTGAGCCAGCAGGGAGTTCCCTTCCACCCCTCCAGCTTGGCTCCAGTCCTCCTGATCCTATTGGTCCATCTCTCCCCTCAGTCCCCCCCAGGCACCAAGGCCTGGGATAAGTTTCTACCTCATTTTGGGACTCGCTTTTTATCATCTGGGGGGCTAAGAACAGACTCCAGCAAGAAGACCCAGCCTGGCAGGCAGGTGCCTATCTCATGACCCTCGGCTCACCTCCCCTTTTCTCCATAGGTGTGTCACATCAGGACCTCATACATGCTGAATGACCACGAGTAAAGGAATGACCACACCATGACGTAGCCCGTAAAGGCATTACGAGCAGTCAGAAAGTACCGGGAGAACACGACAGTCTACAGCCTGTGCCTGGCACAGCCAAACCCCTCTTCTCTTCTTATGAAAGAGGAAGCAAGATTACCATCACCACTTAGGAAAGTCCAGAAGCAAAGTGAAGTGGGCAGCAGGCTGCCTCCATCAAAGGGTGTAACTCCAGCTGGGGGGCCTGCCACCCTCTTCTCCCAGCCTTGACTGGACCAAGTCTCCTGCAGACCACAGCAAAGGAAGAAGCAGGAATTTGACTAGAGGTCCCAGGCTGGGACCCTACGTAGGTGCAGTGGCAGGCCCTACAGATAGATACTCATAGCCCAGGTGTCCCCCTGCCAGCCCCGGCCCCTGGCACCTCTTTCCCCAGTGCAGTTGTTTGAGGAAATGGGCCTTGCGCTGGCTGGGTGAACACAGGGTAGTGACTTCACCAGCATCTTTTTAGAATTTCCTTTTGGCAGCATTCATGCCTAAGGCAATCTTTAGAAACTTCTACCCCAACCAGCAAAATCCACATGACCAGCTCTCCCCTAAACGGTGATCATGTGACAGCAGTCACGTGACACCCTCCACCACCCCCACCGTCTTCCCGCCCCCCTGGCTGCCAGAGACGCGGGATACAGGCAATCCACAGCCACCTTTTTCAATCTGACATTTGAGTTTCTCACTCGAACAAATCCATTTGCTTAGAAAATTGGACAACTTCCTTCTTCCACCTCTTTGCGCTTCTATCTGCTCTCTTCTGCTTTGTTGTAAATTCCAGGCCGTGGGTAGCAGAGTTGGGGACCTGAAGTTCCGACCCTTAGCCAAAACAGGTGAATCCCATGACCGCCCCTGGGGTGGAGGGGCAGGGCTCCACAGAACACTGAGTCAAGGATGCTGGGAAGCCCCAGCAGTGAGGACCACTGCCCTTCCCCATCACCTTCAACCAAGCAACTGATTCTCACCTCCTCAGATTTATTTATCTCCAAGTTAATCCAGGCCCCTCTGCCGCTCCCACTTTTTCAGGCTATTGATGCTGAATGGATTGGAACGGAAGTTTTATGACCCAATCTTTACTATTTTATAGATTGTTTTTATAGGCAAAAGGGGGAGAGCTGTTCACATGGAGGGTGGCAGTGGCAGCCCTGGGAGAGGCCGGCTGCCCAGCTCAGTGCTTGTCAGCCAGGGACAGCATCACAGTGGCCTGGCTGGAAAAGGGTTTGGAACAGACTTGCAGAAATGAACTTGGGCCCGGTTCCTTGCTTCTGCAAACATTAAGCACTTGTGACAGGCACCCTGGCCACTCCAAGCCAGGAAGGCCAGCAGGGGAGCGGCTGGGGACTTCTACAGGCCGTACAGGGCTGGTGCCCAGGCAGGAAGGAGTGGATCCGAGATGTCACTCACCAGAGACACATGGAATTTATCAGGGCTTCCTTCTGCCCGGCTAGGGCCCGACTGTAACTGAGCTGGGGATGGGCTAGTGGGGGGAGGAGGGGAAGCTTGTGGATCCTGAGAGTTTTCATGGGAAACTGCAGGGCAGGCTGCCGCACAGCCCCCACTTCTGCTTCCACCCACTCTTGCTAGTTCTCCTTCTCACTGCTATCAGATGGTTACCGTCTCCCGGCAAACCCAACAACGGGGGTGGGGTGGATACTGAGCTCATCTCTACCTCCTTTCTCAAGGCTGGGAGATGCAAGGACCTGGATTGCAGCTCCCAGAAGCAGCCGGGCAAGATCCTCACTCTTCTCCCCACGTTCCCCTGCCTCCATTCATCACCCCGCCAGTCCACACCCTCCCAGGAGCCCTAGGATTTGGTAAAACCCCTTAAAGAAGCAGGACTTGGGAATGGTGACCTCACCCCTTGGAGAACACAGACAGGAGCCTGCCTGCCAGGGGGACAGCCAGGTGCATGATGTAGGCCAACCCAAAAGGCGTGCTAGAGCCACAGGTAACAGCAGCGGAGCTGCAGGGAGCTGCCCGCAAGCCTGGGAGAAGCAGGAGGGAAATGGGGGACCGTGTGGAGGGAGCTGAGACAGCCAGAAGCTCCAGCCAGTACAGGGACAAGTGGTTGCGTTCCCCCTGGGCTCTGGGGGTCGCAGGAGCTTCCCTCTGCTGCCAGGCTCTCTCTCACCCATGCACACACAAACAGGGCTTGACCCTGAGTACGGGAGGGAGAGCTCACTCCCCTCACTGCAACAGCTCCATTCCAGGTATCTCCCAGAACTCTGCCCCCAACCCCGCTCTCCCAGCCCAAAGTCAGACAGGTGGAAGGAGAGGGTTTCTAGTGAAGCTGGGACACCCCCTCAACCCCGGCTCTGAGATCAGTGGGGCAGGGCCAGGGTGAATCAACTCGTCCTTATGTTCCAGTGCCCAGCCTCGTGCTGCACCCACCACATCTCACGGGGACAGCTTGATCCGTGGCTGTGTGACCTTGGGCAAGTCGCTGGCCCTCTCTGGGCCTCACTCTCTGCACCTGTAACCCTGGTTCCAAGCAGTTCTTTATCCTGACTAGTGCTGCCAGACGTAAGCCTAGTGGCTCCCGGCAGCAGTCTGGGAGGCCTGAGCACCGCAGTTTGGGGAAGGCAGCGGAGGGCAGCTTGGATGGGGGGTGGTTGCTTACCTGACAAGGCGCAGGACGCGGCGAGCAGCAGGCAGAGCAGTGGCCCGAGGCGGCCGGGGGCCGGGCCGGCGGGCTCCATGGGCCGCGGCTGCAGAGCGAGGAAGGAGAGCGGCTGTGAGTGCGCGCTCGGGCGGCGGGCACAGGCTGGAGCAGGGAAATGACTAAGGCTCCCCCCTCCTTCCCCCCCACCTCCCGCCCGGCCGGGCTTCCCCCCTCCTCCCCGGAACAGCGCCCGGAGTGGCTTAGGAGCCCCGGCGCCGCTGCGATTTTCGGAGGAGCCACCCCTCCGCCCTCCCCAGGAGAGATCGGGAGACGGGGAGGGGGTGCAGCGGGGGTGCAGAGGCAAGAGACCCCAAGAGCGCGAGAAGCGAAGGCAGGACGGCCGGCGAGAGGGGCAGGAGCGAAAAGCAGACCCAAAGGAGCCAGGCAGAGGGCCAGAGACACAGAGAGGCGCGAGAGGGGGAGAAAGAGAGCGAGCGAGCAAACGAGCCAGCGAGGGAGAGAGCGCGGGGCGGCGCAGAGCGAGACAGACAGCGCGGGAGAGGGGACGCGAGGAGCGCAGGGCGCGGGGCAGCGGCCGAACCCGCTGCGCGGGGCCGCCCCCGCCGCGGCCCACCCGCCCCGCCCGGGCTCCTCGAGGCGCCGGCGGCTCGCTCTCTCTCCGGGCCCCGCAGTCCCGGCCGCTACCCCCGCCCTCCCGGCAGCGCGCTTGGTGGGGGGGGGTGCCCCCACCTTCCCTCCCTCTCTCCCTCCCGCGCGCTCCCCGCCCGCCCGCCCGCTCTCCTGCCCGGCACGGCTGCGGGGCTCGGGCCCCGCCGGCACCTTCTCGGTGATCGCCCGCCTGCGCCCCCGCCAGCAGCGCGCCCCGGGGGAGGGAACGAGCGAGGGCTGCGCGCCGCGCGCCCAGCCGGGGAGGGCAGCGGCGGCCCCCGCGCTGCGCCGCGCCTGGGCTCCGGCACCCCCGCGCGGGCTCTGGGCTGCAGCCCCCGGCACAGCCCGCGGGACTCGGGACGGCACAAGCCAACGCGGGCCGCCGATGGGGTGGCGGGGGCAGAGGCCCGCGCTCGCTCATCCCCCGGCCCCCATCCCTCCCATCCCATCCGTACCTCCCACTCCCGCCAGCCCCGGACCTGCACCACCCGCCGGGCTGGAAGGCTGGGGAGGCGCTGCGAGGGGCTGCCCGGAGGCCGGGCCCCTCCACTTTGCGCAAACTTGTTTTTCTAAGGACGGCTCTGCGAGCTGGCTGAGCTGGCTACGCTGGGCTCTTAAGGTAGACTGGGGAAGTTGCGGCCGCCCTCCCCTGCTCCGGACTCTGACCACAGATAGTCCCCGAGAGGCTGCGAGCCGTGTGGTGGCGGAATGGAGCCGTGACGGGGCAGAGGACACGTTCTGCCGTTTGCCACTCCCCAAGAGGCCCTGCCCCTATGGCCCCAAAGCTGAGGGCCCCACGTGAGGCTGGGGATAAGCCAGGGGGACCCGAATCTTTCGGAGCCTGACCGAGGTGGAAGAAAAGCAGGAAGTGAGTGTAGGGGGAAGGGGAAAGAAAGGAGAGATGATGGTACAAAAATAGCGTGTGTGTAGGAAGGACTCGAGTGCCGCCTGGGAGAGCGGCGCAGGAGATGGGGGAGAAGGGGCAGGCAAGAAAAAGGGCCGGTCCAGGCCCTTCCCAAGGAGGTGGGTGCCCTCTGATCAGGTGCCCTGGGTTCTGGATGATGGCAGATTCAGGGTAGGAGGTAGGGGACCTGGAAGCCTGGCTTCCCAAAAAGTCACGCTATTAGGGGCTGGGGGTGTGGAGGATGTGCGGGACGAGGAGAGGTCCTGGAGCCACGAGCCTGTTTTCCGCTAGGATGGAGCATCCCTGGCCTGAGGAGTCTTTCGAGTGGATGGGACACTGAGCCTGGCTGGGTCTGAAGAGGGTCATCTGGCAGACAGGGCAGGGCGTGTGGCATTGTGGGGCAGAAGGAAGTTCATGACCCTTTGCTACTTGGAGGGTCTGTGAACTGGAAAGGAGCCAAGAGATTGCCAGCTGCGGGCTTGGTTTCACAGATGGCAGTAGAGAGGATGCCAGTGAGTGTGGAGGGAGGCCTGTCTCTGTACCCCGAGGGTTAAGGCCCAGAGAGGGGGAACACTTACCTAAGGCCACACAGCAAGATCTGGGGGAGGACCAAGAGTTGAATTTCTGATTCTCTGGCCAGAGACCATTGCACCGAGGCCCATCTTCCATGCTGACCTCCTGGGCCAGTGCTGAGTCTGATCTTGTGATGGGTTCAAGTCCTCTGCCCACTTCTGAGTTCACTCTGCAGCCCTGGGAAACATGCTTCAGCTTCCCCATTTGGAGCAAAACCAATGTGAGTGTGAGCGCACAAAGCTCACGGCGAGGATCAGATGAATGAATACTCTTAGCAACACCTGAAAGAGCTCAGCGCCGATCCAGGTGCCAGGAATGCATCTGATGGAGGCCCAGGCGCTTCACAACTGTTCTGACACTCGCTTCTCTGGGAGTGGCAACCCGCTTTCACTGCCCCTGTCCCCCGGGGACTTACAATCCAGTCGGGAGATGGAGAAACAGGTGTGTAGAAATCATCAATGGACTCCAGAAGATGGAGGTTGGAGAGAAGAGGTGAGCTCATCCTCCTGAGAAACCGTAGCTGAATCGCAACTGCATATTCAAGGAAGACAGATACCACAGATAAAGCCCCTACCACCCACCACTGTGCCCCTCAAGACCAGCTCTGCAGCAGGTGGGGAGTGAAGGATGGTCCTGCTGGGAGTCCCTAAAGGCCCAAATAAAGAGGCTGTGTTTGGATGAAGCCTGCCACTGCTGCTCTGCTTCTGATCCTGCTTCCTGCTCATGCATCTGGGAAAGCAGCTGAAGGTGGCGCAAATATTTGGACCCCTGCCACCCACATGGGAGACCTTAGTAATGTCCCACACTTCTGGCTTTGGACTGGCCCGCCCGTAGCTGTAGTGGCCATCTGAAGAGCGAACCAGGAGATGGAAGAATTAATGAGATAAATCTTTAAAGAAAGAATCCGAGGTATTGTGTGAGTTGGAAGTGCTGGAGAATGTGGGACAGGGGAGTTTGTGGTCTGGGGGTAGAGGAGTTGTGCTAAAGTGAAGAGGGGCCAGGAGTGAGGGACACACAATCAGGGCACTGGACAGGAGAAAGATGGCTCTAAGGCCCACCCTGCAGCTGAGGGGAGAGGGGCAGGTGAGGACCCTGAAGATGACCAGTGAGGCTCTGGTGGATGCCCCTCCCCAGGCTATATCTGGAGTGGGAGATTGGGGCATGGGCTGCTCATGAGGTGAAGTCTTCCAGACTTCTGCCCCTGGCTCCCACAGAGAAATCTGCCCAGGGATTAGGAGCCAGGGGATTAGGACAGATAATAATGGAACCACCTGTTGGTTATAAATAGCAGCTTTGTGTGAAGGCGCTCAGTGGGGCTTCTACCACAGGGGCCCTTCATCCCTGGACCTTGTCCTCTGTCCACATGAAGGTCACCTGTGGCTGACCAAGAGGGCTGAGAGGTCATTAGGGACCAGTGGGCAGCGAGGACATTCTACTTGCCTGAGTTCAAACAGAGATTAGAGTCACACAGGTGCTGGTTTGATTCCTGGCTGCTCCAGCTCCCTGCTTATAGCCTGGGGAATTAGTGGAGGAGGACCTCAAATGCTTGGGCCTCTGCATCAATGTGGAAGAAGCTCCAGGTTCCTGGCTTTGACCTGGTTGATCCCGAGCTATTGCAGCCATTTGGGGAGTGAACCAGCAAGTGGAACACCTCTCTTATGGGTGTTAACTCTACATTTCAAGTCTTTCAAGTCACTAAATAGATGTTACAAGTAAAGAAAATAAATTAGGAAATTAGGTTGTAAGAGGCAGGCTCTATCCCACAGGGGCTCCTTAACTCCTTCAGGACCCCTGTAGGGCAGTCTTTGGGGTTCAGGCCTTTCTGTCATAGGCAGAACCAAACCTTTGGGACTCCCATCTGGCCAGCACCCCCCATGTCCCCAGGGTGCCTTATTGATGCTGTCCCCATGTCCCTGGAAGGGTGGTGGTGCCCTCGAGGGTGCCAGGCCCTTCTGGACACAAGGGTGCTTGCAAAGGTCTGGAGGAAATGGAATGACAAGGTGGGTATATTTTGGTGGGAAAACATTTGGAAACCCACGCATAGCTTTAGATGCAGTTTTCCATAAGCTTTTGGCAGACCCCCTCAAATGCACATTTTTCATGGAAAGCAACATCTTTGTCTGTTTTCCTTGAATTTTCTGAAGGACCCCAATACATTGTCTCCCAGAAGCCCCACCAACTCCCCTGGGATCCCAAAGGTAAGAAGACAAACCCAGAGACAGAGTATGTGGTCAGGGCTGTCGCACTGGGGCACGCACAAACCTACAGTGACCCAGCCCTGCCCAGACTGCTCGCTTCTTCCCGTGGCCCTGGGCTGGCGTCAGCAGGCAGGCCCACGGGGCTGCCTTTGTGTGGGGCCTGGCAGGAGGTTGGAGTTGCCAACGACCTATTTTTCTGGGCAAGAGGAGCCATTTGGAGTTAGAGGCCTCAGCTGTGGAGCCAGAATGATCAAAATAAAAACAGCCTGGATTCCCGGGGAAGCCTGGACGAGGGGCCTGAGTGCCTTGGAGGAGCTTGCTGCCGGCAGGGCTGGAAGGAAGGCAGGCTGGGGGCTGAACTGTCCATGGCTGATTTCTGTGGCTCATGACATACGCTGCTCCTTCAGCGTGGTTGCTGGTCCCATTCTGTAGCTATGGACATTGAGGCTCCATGGGGTGATAGACTGAGTTGCCCAGGACATGCTGGCTAGACCAGTTGGGATTTCAACTCACTTTCCCCAAACTCAGCAGCAGTCCCTATTGTTCAGTGTCTGCTGGCTGCCCAAGCTGTTCTTGTGACATATTAAAGGTATACTTCTCAGGGATGTGGAAATCTCCAATTTTACAGATGGGAAAGTGGAGGTTGTTATTCACAGGGAGCATTTCAGGGAGGCCTTGCCTGATTACCCTGTCCCAAGAGCCACCGCCAGCTGTCCTCACTGGGTCCTATTATCTTTCCTAGCCTAGGTCACTTGCTGTGCCTATCACACATCTTCATTGTATTTTCTGTGTCTAGGTCAGTGCAGCCAGGGGCCCAGAGGGCAGCTCTACAAGCAGGTCCTGGGGTTTGTACTCCAATTCTCTTGGCCTAGCTGCCCTCAGGCCAGGTTCTTCCCAACTCTGTCTCACTTATCCAGGCTTGGAGGTGATGGGACCAAGCCTGGGTCATTTCCCAGCTATTTGCTATCCATGGGTGGGAGGATGACAGGGTTTGCCACTGCTCTGTCCTGGAGCTGCAGCCCTAGGACCTGCCGGTCAACAGCAAATCATCAATGAGTGTGTGTGAACTTTGGGAAGTGACCCCTCAGCTCAGTGTGTCCCCACCCTCCACCCCAGCTGACCTGGAATCAGACCTGCAATCCTCCCTTCCCTGAGAACTGGCTAAAATGCCAATTCCAGGGCCCTTAACCCTGGAGTGTCTGGCTCCTGAGAATCTCCATTCCTAAGGCGTTCCCAGGTTGAGGCCCACGCTGCTGCTGGCTTGGTGACTACATGGTGAGGACCATGGAACAGACTCCTGTTGGAGTCGGGGTGGGAGGGCCTGGCTCCTGAGCCCCTCTGTCTGTCCATGCCCCTGGTTCCTATCCCCCAAGAGGAGGAGGAAGGCAGAAGGCAGCAGGACAGTGCCCCTTCTGAGGCTGCAGCTGGTGCCATGCTGCCACCACCACTGTTGCCGCCAAGGGGCTGTGACAGATCAGTGAGCCAGGCAGGGCCTGGGGGAGCCGTGCTGTAATTAGCGCTTCTCGGGGCAAGCGAAGCTGCAGACAGGCAGGCAGCTTGCCTGGCTCTGCTCGTCAGGGGTGGGACCTGCTGTCATCCCCTAAACACTGTTCCCCGGCTCTGGGGAGCTGGCTCTGTGAAGAGCTGAGCCCAGCTGTGCTGAGCTAAGACGCCCTCCTCTGCTCACTTGGGGTAGGGGTCCCCTGCTGGGGGGTGCCGCCAGGGCAAAGCACCCCTTGTCTCAGGAAGCACTGGCAGACCAGGGTCTGAGAGCTGATTCCCTAAGCAGAACACAAATCACAGCTCAAGTGCAGGCACCCTTTTCCAGGCCCTGGAGGATTTCTGCAGACTCCCTCACAACTTCTCGCCCCTATGGGGTGGGACACAGTTCTTCTCTTCATTTCAGAGATGAGAAAAATGAGAAAGTGCCTTAGCCAAGAGCACACAGC